CAAGCTAGTGCATGTCAGTCACTGGATCCAGGTATCAATTTCTACAACAACAACGCAACTCATCTAACAGTTAGCACATTGCTGGTATTTTGGTATACTCTTAAGCTGTATTAACAGATAAAGTCTCTGTATTTGGCACTTACTCAATATTTAGTATTCACCCTTGACTGATATGTCACTGCATTACAACATTAAATTGTTGTTTAAGTAATTAGGATTGCTTTTTTTTAAACTAATCAGGTTCTTAAATGTTTTCAAAGCCAGAAATGTTTCTCATGTTTTCCTTTCCTTCCTCCCTTTTTCTCTAAACACTTTGACATCCAACAGTACTATTCTAAATACTATTACTAAAATAATACTATATTATTCTATTACTGTACTTATTCTAAAACATTTATGCAATCAACACACCCACTAAAACTAATATTAAAGAGCCCATGGCATGCTTTCCTTGTTTTTTGACTTATCTACAATGTTACAGTGGTGAATTATCATCTTAGACGTGATCTAAAGCTCAAAAAAATGAGGTGAATGTATGTTCTAGTATTTCTATACAGAAGCATCTTGGTTTATTCAAGGATCTTCTTGAATGGTCATAATCTCCAGGCCTCCTGCTGCACTGTGACCAGAGGATGTGGTGAAAAATACAGGGCCTGAAGTTACTGCATGTCTGGGAATGTTCCTGTACAGGGACTCATTGTTTTACCTGACAAGGTCTAACCAACAAGCAGCCAGCATGTAAAGGCCCCGTAGTGGTGAATGTTCAGCTCATCAATGTTGAATTCCCCTGGAGCACAGTACCTGTTTGTTTTCACTGCTTGAGGCGCCAGTGTGTCTGCTGTATGTGTTGCTGGTTAAGGAGCAGATTCAAGACCCATGATGTTATTGTCTGCACTACATTTTGGGACTGTATGTGGTCATGTGGGGGAAGACACAGCAACCACCAGTTGGATTTACCAACCTTTGAGCTACTTGAAAGGGAGTAATGTTTCCACTACTTGGTGGGACTTAACATTAAGGGTGCTTTCACACCTTAATTCGTTTGCTTTGGTCCGAATCAGTTGACGAGTTTGTAAACATGTAGCAATATCTCCTTGGTTCGGTTTCGTTTCACACACAGAAAAATCCAAGCACACCAAAACACATCACGTAAAACTACGCGAGAACGTTCTCTCCGCTTATTGGTCAGATGTGTCTGCCGCGAGAACAGGAAAAAAGTAAATAAAGGAAGAAAGTCCACGTTTCTGTGACGAGAGAGGACGGAGGTCAACATACGCGGGTTGGGCCTCGCCCTGGTTATTTTGTATTACGTTACTTGCATTTACCGCTTAAACCAAGTCGTACAGTTTGCCCACAATTCATCCTGGCGCATGTTGTTTTTTTGGTGTGCACTCGAGTGCGATTGCTGTGTTCACACCAGACAAAACGAACCGCACCAAGAGGGAAAACGAACTCTAGTTCGATTCAATCGAACTAAACACTTTAGGTGTGAAAGCACCCCAAGTTAAAAAAACAACAACAACAAAAATTCCACGTTGCATGTCTGTTAATGCCTTGTTTCTTTAACATTTGAGAGAATTGTTTTAAGGCTGGAGAAGTTACTATGTCTGCATTATACCAGTTAAAATATGGGGTTTCTCAATTACCCACTTTTTTTTAGAGTGTTACACATCTCTTTTCATTGGTACATACACTGTTGTTTACCCATCTATGAAGGAGAAATTGATATTAATTAATGCTGTTGCGGTTCATAGTGCTGTCCACTTTCAAAACAACATCAGCAACAGGAGTTGTGAGCAGTCACAAACTTTCCTCTTGTTTTTAGGAAGAGGCCCACGGGGTTGTCCTTGTTTGAGTCTGCACAGTGATCTTTTGTTGCCTGTCATCTCGGCTCTCTATCCCTCATGTTTATCCTAAAACTAATTCTAGTCTGAACTTGGGGCTAGCAAAAATGGGCACATGATGGTATTAAAATAAAATTTATACACATAACTAAAGGCGCACACACACACACACACACACAAAGTGTACCTTCATTTGGAGGATATCTCCCTCATGAGCTGGCCAGCCCTTCAAAACAAGTCCTGTGCGTGCATCTAGCAGAATAATGAAGCCAGATGAGAAACCTGCAGCAACTGTGCGCCCTGAAGGACTTGCTGTAAGGTAGCGGATGAGTCCAGCACTCAGATTGTTGTATGCCAGACGAAATTCATGCTGAGGACACAGAGGAAGATTTGTCATTGTTAAGCTGAAATATCTTAATATGGTGGAGAAGAATAAAGAGCACTATCGTTTTGAAAACAGTAATGACTGATAATTGGTGATGCTGTATGGCACAGGTCTCAAACGAATGAGCCTCTTAAGTGAGATTGCTACCTGCAGTCCTGGTTTGCGAGGATCAATGAAGCGAAGAACAGAATCTGCACTGCCAAAGACAACACTGCAGTGTGGAGCTGGCATGGTGGTGACAGCTGTAATAGGATTCTTTCCATCCACAGCTTCATATGAGCGGATCTGCTTGCCTAAGGATGCCAGTAGATAGAATATAGTCAACACTAAAAATTACACAAGCACAGTTACAAGCTCCAGATGTTTTGATCATGAGCAGAAATGCATTGTGCTTGATGTCCCATACCTGTATGTTGGTCCCACAGGTGCACAGCACCATCACAGCTGACTACTTCCAGTGAAGCCTCGAGCTGTCCAACATAGAAGACAGACTTTCGATGGTCATTATAAGTCAGCCTGGGCTCAACCTCCTGGGTACCATCACCATGGTTATAGAGGGGCCAAAGTTTCACAGTCTTGTCTTTACTACCAGAAAGGAAGTAATCTTCTCCCGCCAGCGGTGCCAAACACTTTGCGGTGCCTGAGTGACCCAGGAAGCTCTGCAATCGGATCTGGTGGAAGTGGAAATGTGGATCCTGTTGGTTGAGACCAATCTCATACTGCCAGTAGGCCAGCCAGTTGCCCTGCAAGGAACGGCAACTACGAGGGAGTTCCTGCTTCAGGGCACTGTCCTCTAGGGTGGGGCCTGTCACCCAGGAAGAGGATAAGGAAGCACTGACAATAGATGGAGTAGTGAAATTGGAGGAAGTGGTGATGCTGGGAGCAGTATGACTTGAGTGTCCCCATGAGCTAGCCAAGCCCAGGTTGTGGCTACCACCATAATCAGTGTCTCGGGACACTTGAATACGGTTTCCTACTAGGTGGCTCCCAAATGTGCCTGACTCGGGGAGGGGATCTCCAAGTGGGGTGGAGCAACTTGAGGGTGCAGGGAGTGGGCTGCAACCCACATGTCTGCCTAGACCAGAAGAGAGACTCATGGAGGATGGAGGCAGCCCTACCCTGAATGCTGTTGTGATGTTTGTCTCTGGACTACCCTGGCTCACACTCTGATGGTAGGACTGGGCCAACTGCCAGACCAGCTCATAGTTGGGAACCAGTTTCCGAATTGCAACGTCACCTATAGAAATCACAATGTAACAGATTCATACCAGTGAAGCGTGAACATTTCTCTCATTTAGAGAAGAGTACTACCTTCTTCCTGCTGGATAGGGTGTTTTATATTGCAGACAAAATGAGGCATTTCCTACCTATGAGACAGTAGAAGGGGATGTAGGAGGCGTGGGCCATCTCAGGGTTAAATACAGTCTGCAACTCCTCCAAGACTCCCAGCTCATATGTCACATTTGAGTCTTCAGCTGTGCAAACATCCACCACTGTGACTTCTCCCACAATTCTGCGAGGGGCGCTGTCCAGCTATAGTTTAACAGACAGTCATCACATCTGTGTGCTTCTAGTTCCATTACTATATAAATAAACGTTTATCTAATGCAACAAGACCATCCTGCCACTCTGATACATGCATTTTTGCTCTCCCCATCTCTCAGGCAGCTCATATTCCAAGTTTCTGTCTTCTGTTTCTATTGTTATCCCTATTTCCATCTGCATTTGTCCTTTATTGTTCATAAAGCTTTCTGTGCCTGATCTGCTTACTGAAGATATTCTAGAAATAAAGTTGACATGACACTTGTCAGTCTTTATGTATTGTGTTTGTGTGCATGTATACCTGGGGCTGCAGCGAATGCAACAGAGAGAAAACAGCAAAGAACCGGCGCAGAGTGTCAGCCATATGCTGCTGCACCATCTCCCTCCCAATGCGCAGACAGATGAGAGCCACGAGGCTGAGTGTTTTAATGCAGACAGCTGTGCGCGTCTGCACCCCGCTGGGGAACCTGGGTACGGCAGCACGGGTAAAACCAAGCAGGTGATGACTGACAGATCTACTGAAGCATATTTTCAGATTTCATTCTATTTCAACACAAGCATGAAAAAGATATTGAACTTCAAAAAGTTGAAACAGTTCAAAGTGGGTGACAGATGTAAAAATACAATCTGTGATATTTTACAATGATGCTGCTGTTTGACATGTTCAAATCATGGAACTCTCAGACACCACTGTGCGGTGCCTCAGCATATTTTGTATACAGTATGCATATGCGAGTTTATAGGTGTGTGTTATTTACCCCATGCGGGGGGTGGTGAGCAGGTCCAGAAGTGGCAGAAGCACATCTTGATTGATCTTCATAAGCATATCCATTAGTGTGGTATCAGAGAGAAAGACTATGATCTTCTGTGTAAGTGCAACAGCTCCAAGCAGACTTGCTTCCTTACGTGTGTTTAGACGCTGTGAAGAAGGCGGAGAAACCTAAAAACAAACACATTTGTTCTTAGACAAATAATTACCGTTAAAAAGTGTCCTCTGGTACAAAATTCCCTTTCCCACAAAAAAAAGCCATCTAGCATTATTCTCTTTTTCTTAAATGCCTTTTTTCTCATCTTACCAGATATCCTATATAAGGCAGATACAAGTAGGTGAGTACAGGCTCTCCATAAAGCTGAGCAATGTAAATTAGACAGTCCAACACAGGTCCTGCTGTTTGGTCACCGATCACTGGCTTCTTCTCATACACGTTGCCCATTCCCACACTCTCCATATTGTTCTCCTCAGATGCAGGAGCAACAAACTGGTGGTTCTCAGGTCCTACAGGCAGAGAATTTGAGAAAAGACATAGAAAACAAACATTAGCTAGAAAACACAAAACAATGGTTTGTTAGTGTTGCAAAACATAAATGTATACATAAGCTAAAGAAATTTTGGTATAAATTTACATACCAATGTAACAATTTGTGAGCAATCGCAATAAATTTCTGGCTACATATCGAGACGTCACAGTTGGTCCAAGCTTTGCCGATAGCCAACGAACTGTTTTGCAGACTGTATCTGTGTGTAGAAACAAGATTAAAACCATTAGACATTACCAGTTACAGTGGTGCCTGCAGCGGTAATCCTGTACGCACTGTGTGTACATTTTCTTTTAATGATTTTGGTCAATTTCTCCATCTGGCAGTCATTGCATGATCAACATATAGTAGAGGCTATAAAGGAATATAGTTTCAAATTCATGGCCCGAGGTCAAGCACTATATCTAATTACACACCCCTAGAGCAGATCATATAGCCTACTCTCTGAAAATACTGCTGTCACTCCCTTGGAGAGAGTGACAGCAGCGCACACACTGACTTCACTTGCTGTCAATGCCTGTAATCTGGAAAATGTGCAGGGTATTTTTTTTTTTTTTTTTATTAATCATGACTCATGACCAGTATTCATGTGTTACTTTGGCAGCTAATGATTACACATGGATTTAAGTGTCAGATCAGTAATTCTCAAGAACCTCCTAATAGCAATGCTGGTCATTGCTGAACTGAATAAGGTAAGAAGGCGCTGCGGTCACTGACTCCAGTAGCCTACTGTATCTCTTAACGAGAAAATACAGTATGTCATAATTACGAGAAAAATGTCTTGCTTTAAGGTGATAGGATCCCAATGAGATAAGTTTCTTGTTATAACTAATTTAGCAAACATATTATCTCATGGTGGTAGCCATACGTGGTTCTTGTGTGTACTATAAAATATAATCCTGAAAGCACCACTGATCAGTTAAACAAATGTGTCACATAATCCTCCATCATTCACTCACCTAGAAGAATCTTTTGCTCTTTCTCCTCAGACTCTTCTGTCAGCTCATGGTCTTCATCCTCTTCGTGCTCTCCAACGATTCCTTTCTCTGCCTCCTCCAGTGTCATTCCATTCACAAACTCACCCTCCAGAGTGGCAACTGTGGCTCCAGAGAGAGTGAGCTCCAGGTTGGTAATATTAGGGTCAAATGTCCCCTCTTTACCTTCATTAGTCTCTGTCACATCTTCGTCCTCCAGCTCTCCTCCTTCCTCTCCCTCAACGGCGTGTTTCAGGTCCTGGCTACTGTCAGCAGACTTGAGACTGGCTCGATCCCGCATTGAGTCTCCATCACCCAGAGAGAGTTCACTTGTGCTGCTTTTGTCACTTAGTTTCCCTACGCTTAGGGACTCCTGGTCTTGATCCTTTATTGCTGAGTTGTGGCTCTGCTGTTTCCCAGCAGCCATCCCTGCTCCACTGTTAACATAAAACCCATTTTGAAAGTCCTCTGCCTCTGAGAGGAACACTTGGTCATTGAGACTGATGCCAGAGGAGTAGTCGACTAGCCCCGTATCTCCCACTGCCCCAACACCTCCAGTGGCTCCACCGCTACCACCCATATTCCCGCTAACAGACCCAGTCGATGATCGCACCTCACCACACTGAAAGTCTTCTTCCTCTTCCAGATTACATGTACCACCCCTCAGCCCTTTGCATGCTTCTCCACCAGACCCTGAGATGCAGCTTTCAAAGCCTGTGATGACCTGTAGCATATGGGGGAGTAGGCTGGACAGAAAGGCCTGCAGGCCAAGCCTTACAATCAACTGAAGAATGAAGCAGTCTGTGTAGAGATAGAAACGCCCTCTTAAGCAGTGAGGGTTTTCATATACATTGATCAGTGGCTTCAGTAAGTATTTGTTTGCATTTCTGGGGCCCAGTACTCTAGAGATGGGCTCAAAAAGGTACCAAGCAGCATAGACAGCAGTAGATTCCTCAAGCATGAGGGCCAGAATGATGGGCAACAAAATCTCAAGGCCCTCAGCTGTGATGTTACCCTGTAACAGTGTTTCTAGTTGCTGCCATAGGTGAAAAACAACATCTCTTCTTTGAAGACTATGTGTAGTCTCGATCTTGGTATGGTAGGAAAAAATAAAACGATGAAGTGCGGCAAAGTAAGAAGGGAAAGGAAAGGGGGTGATGACTGAGTTCAATAACTGGCAGGGGTTTGGAGGAGGGAGACCATCACAGATAGGGTCATAATTGAAAAGAAGTGGACGTGGGCAATCTGATACTTCTGTATGTGCTATTCCAGAGTGCTTCTCCATTAGCAGCAGATTCTCAAGGGCATGATGCAAAGACAGTGGCACATCACGGAGGCTGGCAGAGCATAGCTTCATAACAGCTTGAAAACGCTGTCTGAGGGGGGTGCCTGGTTTCAGTCCTCTCAGTTTAGAGGAGTAGAATAACTCAGCAATGACAACACCAAGGGCCTGCATGTCTCTTTGGTAGAGCTGTGTAAGAGAGGGTAGAGATTCAGTTATCACACCAGCTCTCATGCAGTCACTAGGTCCTGTAGGATGCTCTATGTCAGCATGTAAACTCTTCACCAGGAAATTGTTCAATTTCTCCAGCTCTTCCAAAGGCTGCAAAGGGTTGAAGCCTTCAGGGAGGATGATCTTGAATTCCTCTGCACTTGTGGTGCTTACACTTCCTTCCCCATGTTTTTTGTTCACTGGCCCACTTCTCTGTAACATGGCACTGCGTAAACCAGGGCCGATACCACTTGTGAAATCACCAGGGAATGAACTTGGGGACTGAGATACAATAGGCGCTGTGTGCTCCCCTCCCATCTTTCCTCCCGCTGTACTGATACTTGGTAGTGGCGCAGAGCAGGATGCAGAACTGCATGAGCCACTGGACGCTAATGAGTCTAGAGCTTCCATACCTTGTTCAAGCTCTTCATCTCTGTCTACCACGGTCCAGCCACTGGACTCACACCCTGTGGACTCTGGCACCATTCCATCCACAGTGTCAGCCATGGTGTCAATTTGAGGGATGTGTAGAGAGGGCACATTTAGAGCAGCTAGTCCAAGGAGAGGAGGTTCTGCTGGTGCATACAGGGAAGGAGGTAAGCGAGGCGGGTGAGGCTGATCAAACAGCTGCACTACACCATAGTTAGTCAGACTGATATGGTTGTCCACTAGGTGCAGGCACACATTTTTGGCCTTGACAGCTTCTTTACCAGACAGCTTATAACCAAATGTGAGGTCTATCCAGTGATGCAGATGCTGGGACACCTCTCTGCTCTCCAGAAGGTGCCTGTGGACCTCAATAAACTCCTCACAGGACTTGCACCAGGAAGGCACATCAAGGTCTGGCATGTCAGGGTGTATAGAACGGAAAATAGAGGGATCTGTGTAGAACTCTGGAATGCATTCATCAGGGGTCCAGCTCTGCATACGCTCCATACTCGCTGGGTATTCATTAGGCTCCCACTGGGATCTAACATGGCTGCATAACACTGACTTTGGTGTCTGCCGAGCTTTGTAGACATAGTACGTAATGTCTGAGAGCACATCAGATATATGATGAGGCACATGGAGGTGGTCAGACTGTCCAACACCGCCAGCACCCACAGAGCCACTGAGGTCTCCACCTACACCACCTCCACCAATCCCATTACCTGCTGCAGCTGCCAAAGCCTGTTTGGTCATCTCATACGTGAAGTCGAGCTGTTTATCCCCCTTATTGAGCCTGAACTTTGACCTCCTGAGGTCTCGGAACTTTCCAAACGGCACAGTGAAATCCACCACCCATGGTAGCACTGGGTGATAATTTGGATCTCCTTCTCGTCGTCCTGCTAACCTGTTCAACTCCATCAAGTAGTGGAAGTTACTGACTCGTCCATGAACCCAGTCTAGAACCAACATTTTGAGCTCACCAAAGCAGTCTTTGCAAAGTCTTTTGTTCTCTTGGCTCACACATGCATTGTCACTTGGCAGGACACTTTTTGGTACTTGCCTGCTAGTAGCATCACTATTTACATCCCCTTCTGTTCCCAGTTCCTCATAATGGGCTAGGTTGACTTTGAGGTGGCTGCAGAGCTGCTCATCTACTGCTATGTCATGCAGAGAGAGCTCTCCACAAGACAAGCCTGCTGCATGGCATGCCTGCAGAGCTATTAGTAACTGGTAGATTAAGAACAACACTTTGGCATGGCTGTTAGCAAGCTTGGCTGGGCTGAAGGAGACAAGATCATTAAGTGAATACTGAGTATAGGGTAGAACCACGTACAGCATTTCATCTGTCTCCAGGAGACAGTCTGCTGGCAGAACATTAGGACACAGGTGGTTTGACTGGGATTTGGAAATACAAGATGAACTTGATGGTAAGTGGCTTTCTTTCTCCTTCTCTCTAGCTGGAGAAAGGGATGGTGACAGTCTGTCAGATGAGATGAATGTGGCACCGAAGAGCTTCTGTAGTGCATGACGCACTGCATCTACAGCTGCAACATGCATCTGCTCACTGGCTCCTGCATATGGCTTCACAAGTTTGTAATGAGCTTCACGCCATAGGTTCCTTAAAATAAAAAAAAAAAGAAAAGGGAAGAACAAAACAAAAAACTAATACATCACTAAAAAGGGACATCTGGACCTTTAGATTCAATTCACATCTAACAGGGCAAACAGTTAAGTGTATGACCATAGAAACCTTTGAAAAGCTACAAGGAAGAGTTAAACGCTTAAAGTAGGAGTAATCGGTTAAGCAACCCCACTAGCAGTGAACAAAAACCCCCCAAAGTGACAAAATTTCATTTAGGTACAACTAGAATTACTGCTTAGCTGTTGTATGCCTCTTGCAGCCAGTCAAATTCACGGGTATAGGACAGAAAGAAGGTCACTGACCTTGACCTTTAACCACCAAAATTTAATCAGTTCATCACTGAGTCCAAGTGGACACATGAGCCAAATTTGAAGAAATTCTTTCAAGGAGTTCCCGATATCACGTTCACAAGAATGGGCTGTATGGACGGACAACCTGAAAAAATAATGCTTTTGGCCGCACCTATCGCTGGCGCACAGGCATAAAAATAGAAGAAACACTAAATAAATCCAATTATGCAAGTTCTACTTCATTTTAAGTGGACCTTCAGCAGCCTGATATTAGGGTGTTAAAAGATATTTTCATTATCAATTATTCTAAATATCATATTTTAAGAAAAGCATTTAGAATGTTATTTGGATAATCTTCACAAATAGTAACAATCATTTAGATTTTTTTTTTTTTTAACTTGGAACTTTAAAGGCTGTAAGGTGACGAGCAGAGCCACATTTTACAGGTGAATATCAAAGTATATACAGTACCTGACATTGTGCTGCGACACACACTGCATGGTTTTGACATAGGATTCTGGTGAGGTGAACTCCATTTGTTGATGGCAAGGGTCTCTGGCCAGTCTGTAGCTCAGCTTGCTTTTCCTCAGACCCTGAATGCACACTCGTGTCCAGCCCGGAGGCAACTTTGCCTGGGAACACTGAAGGTATGTACGAATTTCTGCCTCACTGATGCTGTCAAAGCGAGTACAGCGCATGACTCTCCTCTCCCTCAGGCCCATCACCCAGCGAGTAGGGACAAGGGCTATGAGCTCCATTTGACTGCGACCTGGACCTTGATGTCGTCGGTCAACCCCCAAGTCTTTCTCAACTGCATGCATCAGCCAATCCATGGTAAGTCCTCAATGCTTGTTCAGAGTTGCACACTGTTCAGTGTGTTCACCTGGCTGTCCTCCACAGCGAGGAAAAAAAGTGTCATCAAGGGCAGGCGTAATCTCCTTTTCCACCTGTCCCAATAACAAATTCAATAAAAAAAAAAACAAACAAACAAACATGAACGCACAATTACTGCAAATGAGCAACAACTTCTTTTGTAGTGCCATAGCAGTTATACTGCTGAGCAATGCTGCAATGAGACATCTGATGGATTGTTTTCTACACAGAAAATTAGGTTTCTCCAGTGCAAGAGCGATGTGATGCTGGTGAATACACATGACAAGTCGTCCTTCTCCAAGTCAGTGAAGTTTGAGCTCATCTCACGTGACTAGTTTGCCTCTATCCTGTTAAAACAAGTGTTCTTAAAAAAGCGTCCAATTTTAAGTTTACTGATTTCAACCATAACTTTAACACAAGCAAACCATTACCGAATGTCTCTTACTACATGCACAATTCATTTTACTTAATACAAGTTCCAAAGAGGTCATATATAGTAACATCAGTAAAAGGTTAGAATGAATTTTGTTTGGCGCTAGTTGGCTGGCAGATAGTAACTTCCAAGAAACAATAAAGTTCAACTTAAACCAATACTATTAGTACTATAAAATAAAACATTTAGCCGTAATTAGGCTTTTGTCCACCTCTTTCAAATTATAAATATCTGAATGACGAGAGTAAGTTGAGAACTTCTGCTTTATGTTTTAAGAAAAAGCTCCACAAATTGGGGAAGCAGCATCAACTCAACGCTAACAGTTAGCTTAACGAATGGGCTAACGTGACGATACATAACCCAAACGAGCAAATATCCATCCTATAAGGTCAGTAACCAACAACACTGACACTGAGGTAAACAAGAGCATACTTTGCACTGGTTATATCTAACTCCAAAGTGACTACAGAACAACAGCACTTCCAGTTTAATGTGTAGCTCACCTCGCACCACTTGTAGCAGTTGACAGCTAACTGGCATTAAGCTAACGATGAAACGCCGGTTTCACGCATGGTGAATTTGTATCACGTTAACTTTACAAAACAAGCGCATACTGCAGGGCGATGTGTACTTGCTTCATATTCTGATGTTTACAGACGCGATTCAGCAGACAGACAACAGTGGGTCAAAGCTGATGACGTTTCGCTCTGTGCTAGTTGGAGCCATGTTTAAGAAGCAAAACCTCACGTGACACAACAGCAGCCCCATCTCATGTGATTAGCTGCTGGGCTGCCATAGTAGCCTACACACAGAACAGCTGTCAAACATAACGTTTGTATGATTATTTCCTTTTTCTATTGTCTTCTTTTCTAATATGTAAACACCCCTGGGGCACATTTATTTATACTAGTTGTGTACACAGGAGATTCTCCTGTTGTGTACTTTAGTTTCGAAAAAACAAAAGATTTATTTAAAAGACATGTTGTGTGACCAGCATATAACTTTTGAAAGCAGAAATTATTTTGTGTTTATTTGAACTGTACTGAGCTGAACTGTAGGCTAAACATGACAACATGCTCAAAAATATTGACACCTCTGTATTTCTGGTGACAACATGGCCAAAAATATTGACACCTCTGTATCAGATAACACACCACTTCTCCCAGTCTCTCAAAACTGTTGCAATCACAAATTCTTTGGTATTCTCGTGTTTATTTCATTTGTTTGCATTAGAACAACACAAAAAAGCAGAGAAAAAAGCCAAATCTGATCCATTCCACACAGAACTCCAAACATGGACTGGACAGAATTAATGACACTTTTCAAAACAATCAGAAATAGTTGTATTCCAAGCAGGTGATGCTCCTTTAATTTGTAATGAAACTCACCTGTAGCAACTAACGGGTGCTGGTGACATAGAAATCACACTGGGAACCAGTTAAAATGGAGAAAAGTTGATTCAACCTTTGTGTCGTGTGGACCACACTGAGCATAGAGA